AAAACAAGAAATCACGATCAAATTCAACAGAACTTTCGAACAAAGTAAAAAGGAGATAAAAAAAGATTCACCTGCCGAGGCCGAACAGACTCATGGCTCTTCTTCTTCCTCTCAAAGAGGCTGCTCCAGAGGGGCGATGAAAATGGACGATTGTTATAAAAATAAAAATAATAATTCAGAATAAGTGAATATGCATTTTTAGGGTATAAATATTATTGGGATCTGTCGAGAAAAGCTGGCGAGCACTGACTCGCATCCAACCAAAAACAGTGCCAGGGGACGCCTGTAAATCAAAAACTGGAATTATTTTTTTTTTTTTAAATATATTATTAGGAATAAATAAAATGAGGCATTGGTTACGTGGAGGGTATAATCAGCTGTTATGACGCGGTTTTGTGACACGTGGCCAAGCGTGATGCTGTTTTTTCGTCTTTTTCATCAATTTTTATTTTATAAGAAATGCTACGATCTCGTTAAGGACTATTATGTTGGGACTTGTAACTGTTAGATCAACTATCCCTATAATTACATAATGATCTAACGGTTATAAATGCTGAAGGAATAAATTCATAACGGGACCGTAGCATTTCTTTTTTTTTTCCTTTATAATAGTGTCTATGGTATAATTGTCGATTTTTCGTTGAATTAACATATTCATCGGATTATTGAATTCTGAATATTATTGAACGAATAAATATTTTATTGTTCTCAGTATTTATATGATGGTTCAATAGTAAATAGACGAAGAGAGTTTAGTGCAATGGTGCATACCTCGCTCGGCGTATCCCATATCTTGAGTTGGAGTCACTGGGAGGGAAAAATAAAAACATTTTTTTTTTTCGGCCAAACGCTAGCTTCTAATAAGAATGGAGCATTCTCCTATAAGACTATATTAGGCCATCTCCAACCGAATACATCATATTCAAACAAATTTTGCAGTACATATCCCATTTTGCAGTAATTCATCTCCAACCGAAAAATTCATTTTCCAACCCAAAAGAATATTTTCGGAATATTACTCTTTTACATCATCTTTTACAACTTTTCAATACTTCTCACATATTTTACAATTTTACAAATTAAACCACACTTTTATTTTCAATTTAATTTAGACGTTATGTAATAATGTTATTGTGTACATTTGTGTATTTACCGTATTAGCCTTAAGTTATATGTGGTCCTAATTTTGTGTATATATTTTTGGTTTACAGAAAGTTGTATCATCCGATTGAGATGATTTTCACCCCAAACTTTGTGTCGCCTCTCTCGTATCATAGTCCTAACCTTGTGACAAACGGGGGTTGACGGGTGCGGTCCCACGGACGATGCACACCAAATCAGGAAGCTCAAATGAAGCTCAAGTGAGGTTTCATCCCAAAACCAATTGGTGGTATGTAGGAGTAGTAGCCCACTAGGCTTATAAGTTAGGCCTATTTCCCTTTATAGACGATGTGGGACAACTAACAAGTGTGTATTCTAACAACTGGGCTTGGGACTTCGTGGGACCGTCCAATGACGTACCGTCACCCAGCCCAGTTGGGCTTGGGCTTCCAAATGACTCACAAGTGAGGGGGGATGTTAGAATACACACTTGCGAGTTGTCCCACATCGTACATCCACTCAAATAAACGACGCGTGCCAGAAAAAGGGTTATTTTGTTCAGCGGAATTAACCAACGACACAAGTGAGACCATTGTTCATCAGTTAAACGACCAAGTGCAAGACAATTAGAATCACTCAAAGCTCCACTAGCAGTGGAAGAACCAACAGAACATGCAACAAATGAATCACCGATACCATTGGAGAACGCCGCATTCGTGAGAGCACCACTCTCGCCGCGAGCTCCACCACGGAGGCCATCACCAAAATTACAACCGTGGTCACCACTGGAACCGGACCATTTCGGATATCCAATACTATCAAAGCAAGTAGCGGTAAGATGGCCAATTCGACCATGATGAGAACACTTGGGACGACCACCATCTCTTGTTTTGCCAGTTTCTTCTGCGTCGGATGAGGATGAGGATCTTCAGGTTGTCTTTTTGCCTCATGTTTCTCCTCATAATGGGTCTTATGCTACTGACATGGACATATCAGACGACTGAGGGGGTTATGTTACCACTACCCCTCCCACTCTTTTGGTGGAGCCCTTGGGTCGTGGTCATCGGACTAAGGTTCATTCCACTCGGCTGAAGGATTTATGTCGGCGCAGTCAATCTCGCCATTTCTTTCGATTTCATGTCGGCGCAGCTGTCTAATATTTAAACCCGAAGAAGTGCTTACTGCCTTTTACAAATTCGATAATCTGTATATACATGTTGGGTTGCGTTACATATATTAATTTGGGGTTGACAAATCGAGAGCTTATACAGGTTGGACTCGATTAATTTGGGGCTCACAAAAACTTTACTTTTTAGGCTCACAATTTCGAGAATAGCTAGCTAACATGGGTTGACTTAGAATGATTCTTTTTTTTTTTTTTTTTNNNTGCTTAAAATGTCGGGCCAATTATATTGATACATATTAATGTTTTAAATGTCGTTCCAATAATTATATTGGGCCTATTTAAAAAAAAAAAATGGTCAGTATTAATTTGGGTAAAAGTACACACAACATTTCTTTTTTATCTATTATTTTATAGGTATTATTGGTAAAATTTGTTATTATTCTTCCAATTGTTATTTGGTTATAATTTCAAATTGGATTATTTAGACAACTAAAAGCATAACATATTTAAGTTTAGCACATATCATATCGACATAATACCGATTTGTAAATTGTAGTGCACAAATTAACTTTATCAATTTAGTTATTGTAGGAACGTCGTCTGATGTGACATCGGTATCTCCATCGTGCCAAACACCAGCAGTGATTAATATAATCTAGATTCTATCTAGAGCCACGAATCGGAGATGTTTGAAAATAATGGTAATGGAGGTTGTAACTAAAGAAGTGTTTGATAATAATATTTTGATGTTCTTTCTTATTTTTTATTCCAATAATGGAGGTTGTCTTTTTTTTTTTTCGTCTATCATATAGTTTTCCGTGTAAATGCACGGGTCAACAACTAGTATATAAGATAAAGCACTTACTTAGAGAGAGAGAGAGAGAGAGAGAGAGAGAGAGAGATATGGACGCTTGCTTCTCCTTGAAGAGGTTCGAATTGAAAAAATTGCCTGAGAAATCGAACCAATTATCTTACTTAAGGGTGGAAGTCGGGCGACAGATGATGGAATTGGATTTGCAGATGTTAGGTAATTTGGTATTTTCAAGACGTAGTCTTAATCGGAGATCGTAATTGACCAATTCCGGCCAAGGAATTCGTTAGCCGTGACGAGGTTCGAGTTGAAGGCATTCGCCGCTGGGTTTAGGCGCCGGTGTCGGGCCCGTTGGTTGATTCTACCACCGACCAAGGTCGAGAACACCGTACAATTGGGACCACAAATTATAGGTCAGGAATTTCGTTTTCGTTTATTCCATTTGGTTGTGCTCAATAGCATGAGACGTATATATAAAATGCATGTGCAGGATTGGATATATGGGTTAGAACAAGGTTTTGTTGGTCTCAAAAGATCATATCTTTTTCATCACCATGCTTAATTCACAACATTGCATATCAATCAATACTTAATAAAAATAAAAAAAAGATGAATGTTGACAATGGTCCTTTCATATCATTCACATTACATAGAGTTGCAGCATTTTCATTTTTATTTTCAATTTTTTTTAAATGATTGTATTATATTAGATCAAAAATCTGTAAAATGTGGCAACATTGTAGTACATTCAGCTCCAGAATCATCTATAGAAGAATCTCGATATATTTATCTCCTTGCTTTTCAATTGCCTCAGAATATCGCTGGTATTTATTTCGTAAAAGTATGTTTTTGTACTCATTTTCATTTTCATGATCTATTCATTTATCAAGTTTTTAGTATTCTTTCACTGTTTTAATCTTTTTTTTTTTTTTTT